TAATTAATCATGTTCTATAATCATCGTAACATTCGCAAGCTAAACTGTTCTTACTAATGAATTCCATCGATTTCCACATACACCAGCATTCAATCTTCTTACAGGCTTGACTGATTGGCCCCATCATCGAAAATGCTATTTTGAGTGGAACAAGGAGAATAGGACTGCTGGAGAAGATCATGGCCACTGTTTACTTTGAAAATCGTTAGTGATGAATGACCGCAACGATTAAAGATTTGGTTAAGAATTGGATGAAATTGAAGCAGCAATGAACGGTAGATGTATGCATAAAGTAAAAATGGTAATGAAATAGTGCACTGGTTGCTATTTAACGAGCGAAGGTTGCTAGAGAATTCGTTTGAATTCATGACGAAAATGAGCATAACATCGACGTCTATCAAATTTTTTTTGCGAAATGTAGCTAGCCACTTTCGAATTCAATGAAATTTTCATCAACGCTAACATATATGATTACAATCCAGTCATAATGCATCTGTCATGACTATAGACCTGATGCAATGAAAAATAATTATGAAAATAGATGTTGTTGAGTGCATTCAGAGGGAATGCGAGGTGAGAAATTGTTTCAAAAATTTGTTTGCTGAAAACATCGTTTGAAATTGTTGTAATATCAATAAGCCGAAATATTATAGATCAGAATCACTCAATGAAAATCACCTCCATTATACAACATAGCTTTCATACGGACGCACAAATGCGAGCATGTCCTTCTAACGACCACAGAAGACAAATTTTGAAACCCTGACAGATTCTCCGCTTCGGCTCAATATTTGACGAGCAATCTCACTAGACAGCATTTCAATCGTGCTGCACATCCAATAGTCAAACGGGTTACTTTAAGGTAAGTTAGCGGGCCACATACCAGGAAGGATGTGGTCAAAGAAGCTGTTCTCTAATGCTTTCCGAATGATCCTGGCCGACCATTAGCCACAAACCCTGAAGAATTGCAAAGTGATCTACAACAGCTAATGACCATCTCCAAGAAAGTTGACCTGGAAATAAACGTGAGAAAGACCAAATGGAAAGGCGGATGTGCAACGTTTCTCGAAAGGGCAGAATAAGGAAAGAAGATTCGCGTCGCATGAGCAGAATAAAAGACACAGTAAGTGAGATGTTTATGTTCAGCAAAAGACGCTGGGCAGGTCATGTGGCAAGAATGATTGATAATTGTTGAACTGTCGGCTAACGCAGTGGATAACAAGAGACGTAAAGAGGCCCCTGGGCAGACCAGGAACAACATGGAATGAACCACTCGTCAGGTTATTCGGTCAGTAACGTCTTCTAAGCGTTGTCGAGAAACATAATGGTTTTTACACCATCGAAATAGAGCTGAACAGACTCTGTGACATTCACTGAATGGAGCCTAGGGCAAAATCCACTTACAGGCAAATTTCTGGCTTTCTGTGTTGTAAACGAACGTTGCAGCAATCACCTGACCTCCGAACTTGACCAAGATTTTGTCGCGAAAACGTTTTTTATTTACATTATCGAATAGCTGAACCAATTTGAGCACCTTTAAGTGCGCTGAATTCATCGTGACGAAGATCATTTGAATCATTCGGAAGCGAGTATACAAATTCTCATTTTCGTCGACACTCAGTCTTTTATAGTATAATCTGCTTGGTCGTGTGCATCGCTCACATTTTTTTGCGGCATTACTTATTTCGATGGCATTACTTCTTATAGAAGTTTTTCATAATTCGCAAGCTAAAGACGGACTGTGATCCAGATTTTATTTCGATAAGCTTTTTTTGAAAAATTCTTCAGGGCTCGTAAACTGAAAACAGGTTCTGCAAGAGATTTTAATTCTCTGTAAAAGGTCTGACGCCAAATTAGTTTTTTGATGGGGGTAGATGGATTATGATAAAAGGTGGTGTTTTAGGATGGTAGGTGGAGTAGGCTATAGCTGCCGTCTTTAGGCGGCAGCTGCGGGTTGAATAGGTCAGAACTGAGGAGGGTAGAGGGAACATCGAAGTTCGGTGAGGGAAGCCGCTCATTGTTGACTTTTGGTTTTTTATTTGTTTCTTTTCATCCAATGACGAGATGCTATTAAATACCCATTAAATAAGTAATGGTGATCGGTTGTGAAATTTCTATTTCATTTGTCCAAAGAATTTCATTTTATTTCTAATCACTTTCTATTTCTAATTCATTTACCGTAATTCTCATTGATGTTGTGGCATGAATATATTATTATTTCATCTATTACTGTTTATATTGGCCTTCATTTCGAATGTCTGTTAAGAATAAATGCTTAATATCACCTTGTAAGATATTCGTTCATCCCGTCATTTCTTGTACTTTCATCTTATTTTAAACTCGAGCTTTGTTTGATTTCAAATAGTCGATGTTAATTTGTATAACAGAATCTGTTCTCCTTTCCCAATGTCGAGGTGTTATTCGAAGTTGGTCATTGCATAAGGTTGTGATTACTATGGAATAGTTTGTATTGTTACTAGAAGCTTTCCTCATTTATAAGGCGCAAGGCTGTAACAGATGAATCAAAACAGCAAAGGTGTGTTGTTGACAAAGAATTATTTGCTCAGTTGGAGATATTACGATGATGTCGAACGTTTCGGTGCTATTTCTTCCATCATTTTTGCGTGGTTCAAAAAGATATTCTTGAAGATGGCATAACGCCGAAATACTCAACTCATCGTAATATATATATAATTACGCAAGTAGTAATATTTTGCAAATAACACTATCTTACTGGCTTGTATTGTTATCAACATTGATATTATTGATTGCATTAATGATATTTTCGGTATTATTGTGTTGAAAATCGTTTTTTTGGCCCCTCTCCTTATTAAATTCGATTACGATTCCAAATTGTTGATCGTGTGATCACTTCAGCGAATTCACATTCCTTCAGTGTAGATCCATGAGCAGTTAATGTTAAAACCATAAGTTTGAGACACAATTCATTGGCATAATCACTGTTAGTCTTTCAGGAAGTAAAATCCTTTTGATTCGGTGTTATCCTGAGTCGCTGTTATAATAGGAAAATTCAACTATGCAGTGTTGTTGTGATTGCTGTCGATGTTGCTTGTGTTATTTCTTGCTGATCGGTTGTGATATTACCGCTATGAAAAGAAAGATACCTACTCCATTAAATCACATAATCGCCAAAAGAATATTTTTCATTTAGTCGGAGTCGCATCAATCATTTCAACTAGAAATTTATTCTGTAAATCTGGAGTCATCGCTGTGGAAGTTTGAGTAAACAACAAGTGATTTGGATGAAATGAATCTTTGATATTCAGTTTTTGAAAAACTCAATTTCCATATTGCATCGACAATTCAAGGTGAGCTCAAGCAATTACTTCTCAATAAAAGAGTCAAGCAAACTCACTGCAGATGACAAAATGATTCTTGAGCAATCTCTCGCACTTACTCATTTTTGAATGAAAAAAACATTGCAATTCAATACTGTTTAATAACCTCAAAAATTACTATTATGTTTGAAGCGCATGCCTCTTCAAAATAAAACCAAATACGTGAATTCAAAATATCAGTTGGATATCAAGAAAGCTATTTGAAATATGAACGATGAGTGAAAATGCGGGTTGCCGTCTCAACTGAAACGAATTAAGCGGTGATGATTTTGACATTTCAGAATGTTTTCCTGAAAAATATTTGGCAAACCCTTCATGCAAATACATCTGAACATGTTATGAATAAATATTCAACTTGAAAAAATTGAGTATTCGTAAAATGTACAGTAATTCTCATGTAGCGCATTTGCTCCGTACTTCACGAAAAATTACCATCATGTGTCAATTGGGTTTAATACCATTATTGGGATCAATACCATCATTGCTGGGGTTAATGTCATTCATTCCCTATGAATATTTCGTCCGTGGAACTCCGGGCGTACTTTGAGGACCTGGTAGGTTAAGGAGTGTAAAGAGCAGGTTTTGGATGTCGGCCCCTGTGAGCCACCGATAAAATTATGAAAACAGCTTCTTTTCCCAACTCTTGCATTAGGTCTGCAAACTCAGCGGAAAAACCGGCTGTCGATTACTTATAAACTGCAGTGCTATCCACTAGAACAGTGGTTCCACGCTCAGTTTTTCCATTGCTCTCTTCGATGATCTGGCAGGCCGTCATCACATCTCTCCCTTCTTCGCTACAATAACTTACTATTTCCACGCATAACACCAGAAGCAATTTCCCGATCTCCTCCGTTGCCCCTTAACACCCACCAATTACCCACGAATGTGTAATTTCCCCCTGTACTAGAACATGGTTGCATTAATGAAATGAATATAATAGTATTCGTGTGTGATGAATACGTTTTCGATAAATTTAAATTGTAATTTCGTCTTTGAGTTTGATAGTTTCATTCTCACCCCTTCTTGAAAGAAGTTGTCCTCAAAACTTATCGATTCCCACGCTTTAAAAATTTGGAAGCTGGAGGTCTTTAAGAAAATAAAAGCTGAAAAATTCAACCGATTTATTCGGACCACACACGCACTCTTCAACGATGCATCATTCCAAAAAAGGTCGAAGTGATTTATTTCCGAAGTTTTGTCTTTCACAATTGACGAAACGTGCGTTCCGCTTATTCGATCCAATACGCAGATGCCCGGAGTGTGTGGTGTTATTTAATCTTATTTGCTAAGCATCTCTGATTGAACGCTGGGAACAGTGACAAAGTATTATGAATCGGCGAAGTCTCTGCTGTTGAAACTTGATATGTGTTGCCTTTTATCAATAAATAACAATCAAGGTCATATTTCTCAATTGGATCATGCTACTGATCGCCTAACAGGAAAGCATGCTCTGTAACTCATCCGCTTGAGGATGACCATCCATATACAAATATAATAAAAGAACAGTGCTTACTACATATTTAAATCAGTGCTGCAAAATTATTGAGATAATGAAAAAGTACAGTCGAATGAAGATCATGAATCACAATATGGTAATATCATATTATATGATAAAATTTTGATATTTACAGCATATTTTGCTTATTGGTTGGATACTGTTGGTTGCATCATCACATAATGTGGATATTGAATGTCACTGAATTGCTGAGTGACATCAACAAATGGTGCTAAGTGAGAATGTGGTGATGCTGCGGTTGTTGCATTATCGATATTGAACTGATACATAGTTTCATCGTTGGCGTACGAACCAATATTAGTGCTGTTATTACTGTGAACTATCTGATGCGTTGATGATTCATACATATATCCGCTTGTTGCTAACGGATAAATGCCACTCTGTACAGTCGGCCATTGATTCGGGTAGTCGTATGATGACCAAAATGGTGTCGATTGCGCAGATTGTGTTAGAAACGTCTGTCGACTGTGAATGCCGTTCACATCATCCACTGCGAATACCGATTCAGTTAGCGCAGATCCAGTGCACATCGTCTCAAACTTAAATGATATTGTTCATAGCCTTTTGGTTATCGTAAAATCAATCGTTATTTTCACTTAACATGAATCTGAATCTACACGAACCTGTATGCATGACATTGGCATTTCTAATCAAATTGATCAGTTAAGTATTCCGAGAAGGAGGAGGAGAGCGAGAATATTGGCGCCAGGTGGAAGAGAATTCTCAGTTTGGAGCCGTTTTAGTCAAGTCAGAATGCCGGATGGTGCAAGTATGATGAGTTTTCCACTCAGAACTGTGCTCACGTTTTTCAAACGCGTATCGATAGCGCGGGATTAAATTGAACTAGGATGTTTCTGAGAGTTTTGAATTACAATACATATTCTATTCCAGAATATAAGTTTTAGTTACTTGAACATTTCATTACGTGAATTCATAGGACAGAAAGTGAATGCTAGTACACGATGCTATTCACGGATTGATGGATGTGAATGAATCTCAGGGAAAAAAAGACCTCTACAGCGGTTTCAGAAACGATTATCTTACCAAGCACTAAGCACATGCATATCACAAATATTACTGAACAAATCCTATTCTTACGGACGCTTTTATTCACAAAAATTTCAAGAAAAAGCATGTGGTCAAAACCTGAGCATTGTTAAAGTCGTTGCTTCCTCGATTGCGTGCTTTGTATCCACGCGGTCTCCTTCGATAAGAGCCTTCTTCGAATAAGAAATCACAGTTTTGATCTATTGTCCATTGGTGACCCTTACCGCTGCGTCCACCAGAGCTTTTCGGTAATTTGACAAAACACTCGTTCAGTGATAAGTTGTGTCTTATTGAATTTTTCCAGCCATTGTATTCACCTCAAAAATGCAGTTGTTTGTCTTGCAAATGCATCACTTGAAACAACTGATATTCATTATAAAACAAAGATGAGTTCTAAAGCTCACGAAAGTTTATGAAACTATTCATCAGCACTATTTTCAACTAGAATATGATTCAAATAGATTATGAATTGCCGATATTAACTGACCCTTTTTGGAGTTTATAGCTCAACAGTTGCTCAGTGCACTTTCCCAGGTTCATTTGGAAAATTCGATGAATAAGATGCACTTAGTCAAAATAATTTATTTGGCTTATGAAAGATAGGTTAAATTGTGAAGTGGTTCAAAGAAAATAATGTTTTGTGAGGAGAGATGAAAGCATTGCTTGATTGATGGAAACTGTTATTCATTTTAGTGGAAGTTCCCAGCAGCACAGTTCAGTACTGATTGTTTTAAAAGTAAGGTTTGATCGTCAAGGCTTCGCGAAAAACACTAAAAAGTGATGTTGAAGTCGAGCTTTTCACTAAGTTGAACTCTCCAATTTGATAACTCATTGATCGAAGAGATCTTTGAGTTGAAATTACTTTAAAATTGTGAAAAGTTAGAAGAAAAAAACACCTCGAAAAAAATCGAAATTGTTCTGCAAATAGGTGTATATTTCAGTGAGTGTTGCCCGTCGGTCAGGTTTAGCGTGGATCGCCATAGCAATAAGCGCAATATATGAATAAGGAGGTTTCTCCTGTCGTTTACCTCCTCTTTTCCGACGATTTTTATCTTCTTCCTCTTCATTCTTGAATTGCAGCGGCACCAACGCACTGGCTATCGAACCACTCAAATGAGCATTTGATGAATTATGTTTTCCTCTGCACAGCAATGTAAGTAAACTTGTAGATTCACTGTGATAATGAATAAAATTTCATTTCATTGGGCCACTATGGGATCTAAAGCACTTCAAATTCCATTATACATCATCGTGTGGAATGCGTTTAGAACTATTTCGTCCATCATAGGATGCTTTAGGCGTCATTCGAAACATCGAAGATCCGACAGGCGATGAGACAGATGTGCAAAAGCAAAAGATGTGCAAAAGCACCTTCGAAGATGTGGACACATCTTCGAAGGTGCTTTTGCACATACATTTAAAGCAAATTTGGGCTGAATTAGAATGGATTAACTTGTGCTTGTCAATAGATTCCCTATTCTAAACATATTCATTTCTTACGAGGACGAGAGTGACTTGGTGAAAAACTTCTGCATGGCGTCCAGGCAAAATCCTTATATCTATAGTTGTCCATGATGCTGAAGTTTCAGGAAAAATTCGAATTCCGTAGTGATCATAGGGTCTTTTGCGGTTCGGTAACTTCATTAGGTATTTCCCACAGTCATTTCAACAAACATTTTATGGTAATAAAGCTACATCATCCGTAGTACAGAGTTGTTCTCGGCGATTAGAATATAGGATCTTGCTCGTTTTGATCTAATTGTTTTTGATTACTAGGCCAAATTCATGAAACATTTTTTCAGAAGAGCGTCCCGTGATAATGTTTAGATGACAAAAATGAATAAAGTACTGTTGGGATTGAGAGTGTGCTTTCAATTTCGTATTCTAAAACACTCAGTTTTTGGTCCATCATAAAAGACCTTTCAGTACATAAGATATTAGAGATTGTAAATGTCATTCTACTCGAGTGCGATGATGAGGTGGGAGGGGGTG